ATTTAATTCAATTCAAGGACGGAAAAGGTTGATGATTGTGTTTCAATTTAAATTGCACTCGTTAGAGAATTACGCAGTGATCGGCTTCGAACTTTCTCGTTACTTACTTAGTTACTTACTTACTCACATTCCTCGAGTTGGCGAATTTTCAATTACCGGATGAACCATCGAAGCGAACCGAAGCAACTAATACGGATTCAACTCCGGTGTCTCTTTTTAATCCGATTACTTCTCACAATACGTTCCTACATCTCTCTGAACTCACATCGTCGAGTTCTTCATTAATATTAAGAGCTTAATTAAAGCGAAAAACGAACTATTAGGGCTCCTCCGACCTATTCGAGCTACATCCTCGGTATCTTTGCACCTTTTTTTCGTTGTAACGCGATTCGCAGGAACTTCGCTTCCTATATAGTCTCTAACGTCTATGTACGTGAATTTAACCTACATTCCATCCGAAACTTTTTGATTTATAAAATAGAACGTTTCTCGTTTCGCGTTTCTCATGTTAAATTCAGTTAGTGTTCCTTAATGATTCTGTTGAAACGGAATTGTAACTGGTTCGAAGACGTAGCTACACACGTACGAGGATCGATTGGAAAGAGGGCGAAAATAAAACGAGCCTTATCCTGGAAAGAGAAGGCAATAGTCGTACTCGATATAGGCATATCGAGCGGATGCTATTCGCGGTTCATTCGCGATCTGTTCGAAGTTAGCGGGATCGCAGCGATTTTTGGTTATCACTTCGGCCTCCCTGGGGCGCAGTTAATCTTGGAATGACTTTCTGCCCCGATCCCGCCTGTTCGGGAGCATTAGAATATCCCGTGTATCCATGGTTTATCAGGCTTATCGGCGGGAATAAATTTCCATATATCTAAATTTGAATCTCCATATTTGAATCTGAAAATATTGATTTAACTCCTAGCCAGCTAAGCGGTACGCGCTACGTTCCGGCCGGCAAAACCACCGTTCGATTGGGCTCGGTACGATCGAACCGAATGAAAAGCGAGAGGAAGATGTTTGTCGATAGTTTCTGTCTCACCTTCCAGCCGGATTAAATTGTTTTCGATGAATTTATAGTGATTTGCCGTGGTCGCAATCTCCTCGGACTGCGGACCGATTTCCATACGGGAACGAAGCTCGGCTACAGGAGATCGATACCTCGCGGTGAGGCGAAAGCGATCACTTTGGATGGAACCCGTTTAAATTTATAACTCGTTGACGTGGCGATATTTTAATAGATGTCCAGCTAGAGAGGCAAAAAGGACATAATATGTTCATTAATTAAACGAAACGCCGATAATCAGGTAACCGACAATTGCGCAAAGTGCTGCTGCGAGAATCTTTTTGATGTTTTATTCAGTCGATTTTGAAGGTAATGACACGCATCGTTGCTATTAGGTGACCAATTTTGTCTGTGACCAATTGTGATTTCTGTACCAACGCGTTTTGCCCCACCGTTACGTCACGTTTACCCTTTGGTAATTAAAACGTGTGAAAGGCGTTAAGGTCCGTGAAATACGTGATCTGCATGCTCCTCCACTTTTTGCCAGGTTAATAGACCAGCATTTAGTTTTGCGTCAACAAATACGTCTGGTTTCTCTCAAGTCTTGTTTTCATTTTATTTTTTCTTTCAAATTCAACATTGAGCCACTGCTCTGGAACCTATTGCACGGACCACTGATTCGTGATTTTGATTGCTAGGCCATTTGTTTGAAAGCGTTCCTGCGAAAAGGTACGCATTGGGAAATCATTTTAGGCGAAGCCTATAATCGAGTGAAATCTTTTATTTCATTACGCAGCTACGAGTTGGATGCAATTACGTACAACACGGAACCTTTCTAAGTGTTCGAGGTCGTATTATGGCGCGGGATCTATTATGTACGATTTTTGTCCATGCCGTTTCTGTATTTTGCTTTTTCTTGCTTTCTAATAATCCGCCGTTATTCGTAACAGGGCAATTACATAAAGAGTCTACACACATTGTAGACTTCCGATCAGCGGTAAGCCGCGAAAAATTTTTTTCTTATCGACGGATTGATCTTTCATCAATGTTGCCTCGCGGATTACTATCGTGTTCACGTGGAAACTCCTTTTCGCAACGTATCCCGGTTCAATTTCAAATTATTCCGCGACCATTATCCATAGAATCAGAGGGAACGTGATATTCGGCCGAATCGAACGCCCTAGGAGCTTTTGCGTTCGAGATTCGACGCTTACGAAAATGCAGCCTAAAGAGGGTAGCAGGCAAATCCCCGTGGTCGATGAACGTACAGGCAGACGGTAGGAGCAGAATTTTCGCGAACTCTGCATTTCTGCTTGAGCGACCGCAAACGTAACCTTATGCAATAATGGGAAAGGCTTTCGAGTCGGCCAGACCAAGACTCTCATGAATATATGGATGGATGTTCTCGCTGAAGGTGTTTATCAAGCCGTTTTCTAGTTACGCCCTTTCTATTCTCGCCCTTTTTGCGGCTTCCTCCCTTTCTACAAACGGAACATAATTCCCGATCTCGTACGTGGTCGGCGAAGGACCGAAAACGAGTTCTCTTGTTTCCCTTTCACCGTCGACTTCGCTTTCTCATTATTCCGATTTCTCGCAAACGGTTCCTCGCTCCTTTTTCATCGTTACGAATGCTAACAAACAAGATCTTGGAAATTTTCTCATCCTCGAAAAGACTATCTCGTTAAATTCAAACATTGTTTTTCCGCTAACAATTGAGAGTGTTTTCTTTCGAGAGAAATGTGTTTACTTATATAAATCGTCGCCCGTAGTATATGAAATTGTCATCTGTGTAGCCGTAAATAAATCTGTGTCACAAATATCTCGAAGAATTCCATACTTTCGACTTATTTTCTCATTTATTACGGAACGCCCAGTATAAACGCGCCGTTCACAGGATCTCACTTTTGGCGAACATCCTTGTAGCGAAACTTGTCCTGGTTAAATCGCGACGCATTAATTTTGCGAACGCGGTTAAAATATTGGCCAGTGTGGCTCGAGTGAGAGTCACGCATGTTACTGAAGCGTCTGTGAAACGATTATGAAACTGGTCCTGGTAAAAAGCGTCTGTGTGCCGAGGAATTATGGACGCACGAGCCCTGGTAGCTTCGTTATTAATCGTTAATACAGGAACAAGAGTTCTAGACATTTTTCATTTAGATCTGATTTATCGGGAACTATTGACAAGTTGAAGCAAATGTGTCCCACCTTCTAATGGCAGAGTTGGGAACTGTTCAGAGTTATACCAAAACACTTTGAACCTCTAAATTAATTTATTAGTTTATTCGAAACTAAGTGCACTTAACCTTAGAAATTTTATTCATAAAAGAACTTCAAAAGTTCTACTTTTTGACCTTGATATAAAATGGAACTTGGAGCTTGAACTTGCTATAATAATATCTTCGCATTTCGTTAATTGACCCGACCGGTGTGCATTGTTAATTAATCATTTCCGCGTTCAAATGAGAGTTATCCAGCTGTAATTCATCATCATTCGTTACGGGGAGGTAATCGGCCAAATGGCATAATGACCCTCTATCACGACGTAATGATTTTGAAAATACTTCACTTGTAGATGGCCAAGATTCTTTTCGTGTACGTTATATGATTAACAAAGTGACTTACTTTCGCGATTATCTCAGTTAAATTCTAGGGAGATGCCTCGGAACGACCGGTAGCGTTAGAAATGAGTTGATGACAATGTTGTCGTTCACCGTGACGCCTAACAACTTCCTCCGAGTATCGTGGGTTTATCTTTTAATTAACGAGCATCAAGCATGATGCCGGGAATCAGTCAATTAAGTACATAACGCGCGCGTGTCCGAGACGAGAGGAGAAAGTTGGCTGGAAGTCGCGCGTCCCTTTGTGACGCGGAACATTTTAAAATTTTGCTATTTTATTACGTTGCCGATGGAAATCGACGAAAAGTCGATGTTCCATAATTAATTACCGGATAGCTCGATATCGAGTGGCACGCGCGGAAGTTCCGTTCTCTTCACGGGAATAATGAGCCGGCAATTTTCACCGGTGTTACGTGCGTTACCAAAAACTTTCCTTGTCGCGAGGCATTTTTTGATCGCGTAATGAGCAGCTGGAACGTGCCCGGCTGCATTATGAGATCGGATCGTAACGACGTTGCGTCGGTGAAAGAAGGAAAGTAACCTGGGATGCGTAATCGACGATCGATCGATTTTAAACTCGACTTAAGCCATTAATTGCATCTATTTTACGGTACGCATCGATTAAACTCATTTTCTCACGTTTGCCTTCCGTTTATCGAGCCTTGCCGATTACGTAATCGCTCGAACCCCATATAAAATCAATTCAAATTGATGAACCCTCAAACTCCTCGAAGAGTTTCATTTATTCAATCATATTGGATTAGCTCATCGAAGCAAGCAACGAATCAATCTACTTCAAGAAATCTGCTCGGTTGGATGTCGAGAAATCGTACGGAATGACGCAACGCGTGCAACGGTAACATCGAAGGGAACGGCTGGTCGAAAAGCTGACAATGAAAAGTAAGCAAGAACGACCACTTCCTCTTACACAGTCACGATCTCAAACTTCTTCCTTTCCTCGGAGAGATCCGAAAAACGTTACGCCGATATCCCGAGAGCGATGCATTGCGTAAGACGTCGGGAGTCTCGGGCGGAATTACATCCGGAATCGGTTTTACGAGACACCAGGCACGAACGTCGGAATCGAAGGCGAGGCGGATCATGCTTCTCCTTCCGAAGTGAAAGAAAAAGAAACACCGAAGAAGACTGGCCGCTGCGATGGTTGCACGCTAAATTGCAGGCTCCTCCTCGCCAAGTGAACGGACAAGAGAACGCGATTCGATACAGTTTGAATACGAGCAAGCTGTTAGGCAGGGGTATGTTACGCGTGCGGCAGATCCGGGGAGATCCGGTAGTAATCAACCGGCCACTCGGTAGCCCGTGGGAAAACGGCTTAACGCCGAACGAACGCCTTTGCACGGTGTGGTAGTACAATCGGTCCACTTTAATGCCGGTGGACGAGTAGGATTTTCCGGGGAGTGGGCCAGTAGCCACGGCGAAAGTGCCGGTATATATGCCAGTGATTGGCGCAGTGTAGCTTCAGTGTGCACCTCCGAACGATACCATGAGCACTCCACAGGTGAGCTCGCGGTCCTCCAACTTACACAGAACACAGAGGTTGTCGTTTGCGAACGTAGATCAAGGGATAGGGATTACGTAAGAAGGCGGAGAAAGTTTTGTAACGATAGATGGTTGCGTTGTCGCGAATATTTTCTTTTGTCGAACGAAACCTTTTCGTTTCTCATTGTTCTTTCTCTCTGGCGCGTTCTCTTTCCTTCTTTGATTGGTCTACCCGTATGTAGAGTAATAACTATAAATCTGCACGATAGTATCGTAACAGGATATCGTTTATCATGATTCACTCGCGTTTATCGCTCGGGTCTCGCATAGCTTTCACACACTGTACTTTCTCCCGTTAAGTTATCACATATGTTACTTTTGAAAAATCACAACCGACGCGGAGAAAAGAACAAATACACGGTGGACACGGTACAACACCGCAAAGTAAACGATTCACGCTGGTACAACTAACGACTTTCTACCTTCAGAAGCTTATAATACTCGCCCTGGTGGCGACTAGCCTGGCCGGCGAGGCAAAGCAGTCGGACACGAAAGCCACTGTGGAGACGAAAGAAAAGAGCAAGCGAGGATTGGAACTGAGCTTGGGTGGCTATGAGAGCTACGGACTGGGAGGACACGGACTGAGCTATGGAGGATTAAGCTACGGAGGAGGCTTTGGCGGAGGTCTAGGCGGAGGTCTAGGTGGAGGTCTAGGTGGAGGCGGCGGAGGAGGCGGCGGCGGCGGCGGCGGCGGTGATAATGGCCGCATAACTGGAATCACCATCCACCGAGAGAATCAAGTACGCGTACCACAGCCGTACCCGGTCGAGAGAAACATACCCGTACCAGTCGCAGTCCCCGTTAAGGTTCCAGTCGAGCGTCCAGTTCCGGTCCACATACCAAAACCTTATCCAGTCCCAGTAGAAAAGCAGATCCCTGTGCCGGTGGAGAAACCAGTTCCGGTACCGTACAACGTGCCCGTCAAAGTACCCGTGTCGGTTCCTTACCCGGTTAGCGTACCGGTAAAGGTTCCATACCCGATCGAAAAGGAGGTCCCCTATCCAGTCCAGGTCCCTGTGATCGTTAAAGAATCCTATCCTGTACTGGTCAGCAGTGGCCACGGTGGTGGTTTCGGAGGCGGTTTGGGTGGCGGCTACGGAGGAGGAGGTTACGGAGGTGGTTACGGAGGTGGACACAGTTTTGGTGGTCATGGACTATCTGGACTCAGCCTGCACCATTAGATACGGATGAAACTCGTCGACAGAGATCTTCATCCACACTCATATATTTGTATATAATGATTATATTTTTGTATGGAAAATAAATTTTTTAAATTATTAAACGATGTCTATACGTTTCACGTATGTTGATTAAAGTAATCGACCTGATTTCATGTATTTTTCTTGCGAGTTAGCGAATAATATTATGTTTTTTGAATTTGTGATGTCTGCCTGTGCTTGAACACCACAAGCATTGGTATATTAAATATTCTTCAAAAATATGTCTGAATTTTAATTAAAAGCGAGAGATTTTCATTAGCTGTTCTTCGTTTCACACGCCTCTCCTTGTAATACAAAGACGAAATGCAAATTATGAATTAAATTATGATTCCAATCTCCACCCGGAGACACCTTTCGCCTTCTATGAATCGTTTGTGCTTCCTAGACGTCGTCGCTTCGTAATAAATAACGATTAGAATTTCTCTCAAATGCTGCTGTATTTCCACTCGATTCCTCGACGCTTTCTAGTAATAAAGCGTGTTCTGTGAACTGAGTAATTAGTTATTCGACAGTTTTACGAGTTCTCAATTCTATTGCGTTGAAAATTGAATAGTTATAATCAAGGGAATCATTTTATAACTAATCTGTCGTATTCCGAAACTCGAGTATTTATCACACTGAATTATCAGTCGTGTGTATAAAATTTCATTTATGAACGAAACAGATCTGATATTCATGAAACGTTCATTTCAGCAAATATTGCTGTTTCCTATTAAATACGTATTTACATCTGATCAAAACTGAGTACTGAAATTACCAATTATCATATCAGCAAATTTATTCTACTGAACGACCACTATGAACGATCTGCTAATTGTTATAAACTCGATCGGTTACTAAATGATAATCAATATTATTTGTATTATTATTATAAATATATTATTATATTATTTATATATAAAATAGTAGAAAATTATGTGGAAAATATTTCACAATATGAAAGCGTTGGATCGACATAGAATTTCTTTCATCTGTCGCCTACTTCTGTCTTCTCAAGCACTTCGTCTCAAGACCAGGCGACGAAAAAATTTGTCAGACGTTTTTACAACAGACGAAACACGCGACGTCTCGTCACTTTGGCGAGGATGTCGCCGTTACAAATATCCGGTGTTTTAAACGGTACGATCTACTCTTACGGTTGGTCGCCTGTTCCACTTGCGAAACACGGGTTTTTCGATTCACGGTGAACTAGAATCTATCTTAGGCGAGCAGAAAAGTCGTGGTCCGTGGCGAATCAGGGGCCAAGTCGTGAATCAGGTGTTCCGGAAGCAAGGTAAAGGTCAGTCGATCTTTCTTCTGCGTCCATGCTGTTCGTAAGAGAGCTTAATTCTAACTTTCATAGAACAACTTGTGTACACGTGTTAACCATTAATTCTCCCCTCGTTTCTTCCTGACGTTATCCGCTAATTTCTCGGAAACGTTTTTCTTAATTTCATCATTCCAGAAATTGCACGCATCGACGCAAAAACGTCGTTACCGTTCTGTAATTTTCCTTGTCCGCGTGGAACGTTTCGCAAAGTGAAAGTCCCACTTATATCGATCGATCTGTCCTGCAAACGTTTCTTCAAATCGAACGACTATGACGTGCCATTAAGATTGCAACTTTCATCATTTTTTCCCTCCCCTCGGCGAGCGTTACGTACTTACGTTTCTGAACGCTCTAACGTTGATTTATTCGCGACGATCATCGACGTTTCTCGCTTAATTGCCTTCGTTTCGAGAGCAAGGAGAAAGATCGTAAGTGCTCGGGCTCCGTTGTTCCGTCGCGATTTCGAGACTTTGTGCAACTCGTCGTCAATTTTCCGCACCATAGCGAGAGAAATAAACGGAGAAACGGCTGCTGTAATCTTACTTTGGCAAAACTGTACAAGATTCCTAGGCCAGATGTATTTCGTGCCTGACTGCCACGATGCTTCGTCCCGTTTCCTCTAATCCCATGGAACTCGAAACCCTTTTAATCTCACAAGGAGAATGACGTTTTGTTATAATGGTTACTTTTAACGTGTCTCCACAGTGAAACGAGATTACTTTATCCTTCGGTCGATCTGCTCGTGGAATTTCGTTTAAAAATGAAATAGCAACGATGTCTTCGTTGCTTTCTACCGTTGTGAACATTTAAATTACAAGGGAATTTAATAGCAAAAGGAGAAATGCAATGTTTCTTTATGATAACGTAGATTTTTTGAAAATCGTTCTGCTTTCAACCAGTTTCATGATGTTTCAATTATGTAAATTTGAGGTAATTGGACTATAAAATTATAATATGTGATACCATTTAATTATGAACCAAGTGGTGTTGTTAAAAGGGCACAGTTATTAGTTTTACTTAATTACGTGTCTGTTAATTAGTCCTTCTGAATGATAATTCAAGTACATACATATAATTCATAACCATCTTTACTAGTATTTTATCCACTTATCATCATTTGTCTTTCTGACAATTTTTTGTCGTAATATCTCTTCACTGACTTCTTTAGTAAGACATCCTCAATAAAAAAGCGACATTGTCTTGATGAGGGTCCTCATTGCTGGTCGATAACACGTTCGTCATTTTTCTACCGAAGCTTGATATCTCTGTTTATTTATAATTATCATATTACGAAAACCATGATCGTTTCATGGTTCCGTTCATTCTTCCATCCGATTTTCATTTTACTCGAAGGCTATGAGTCATAGTTGATTCGGTACCATTTCGTATCACACTGTTGCACCATTTCCGCGTTTCGCCCGGTATCTTACGTGCTCGTAAATCAAGGGCAGAATCCTTGAAAACTTCATCACTTTTTCCACCGTTTCTTTCCCTTCTGACGTGAACTATGTTTCGTTACGCCTATATTTCTTTAAGTTGGCGAACAGCACGAAAACTATGTACCTTTCTCCGCAGAAAAACTACTTCGAATCGCCTTTCTGTTACTCAACACAGAGACTATTACAATAAGTGTACCCAAAATTACCAAGCCGATAAATTTTACCGGTTATTCGAATTGTTACGCGAGACCGTCATGAAATCGCTGCTCTCTTACTGCTTATCGTTGCGATAATTTTATTTTTACGCCAAAGTAACGATCCCCTTTTGTTCATAATTTGAAAATTTATCCCCGACTGCCAGAAATGGACAATCATCGGCTCATAAATAGAAAACGAACGAGAAACTCGACGAGTTTTCTGCGCTCGATTGCTTCCGATCGTATATAAACATCCACGAAATGTTGTCAGAGTGCCATGACCTTGTGCGCGAAGAAGCACCTCAGACAAGTCCAACGCTTTGTTGGATACTCTGGAATTAGCAAAGTTTCGTCAAACGAACGCTTCGACACTCAGGGCGTTTACACAGTTGGGATCGTTTGGAAGTCACTTTCCAAGGATGCTGTCGCCGTTCCCCCGTCCCGCTGTTTGTCGTCAGCGTTAAATTTCGAGATTTCAATTGCCTACAAGTCGCAAGGAGAAAGCTTAAAAAAGGAAGAAAGACGGGAAAATGAAGAAAAAGCGTAGGCGAAAGGAGTACCGACGGTCTTCCCCCTTTCTATTCTTTCTCCTTCCTTGTTGCCTATAAACTCGCTTTAAGCTCGCTCTACTATAAACGGGTTTGTTTACATAACTATAATAGAGCAATTATCGAGAGACCCACGTTTACTCGTTCGATGCTCCTTCCTTTCTCTCGTTCTTCCATCGAACTTCGTTTCACCTTCCCAATTCACTTCTCTCTTCCCCAAAGTCCTTCGTTAGATTTGTGGCTAGTCGTCGCCCCGGTCTCTTTCCTTTCGCTGGCATGCTCGTAACTTTTGCACAGGGAGCAATAAAAGATTACTCCAGGCCGCCGGAAGCTACGCAATTTCTCCGGAAATAGTTTTCATAGCATCGGGTCTGCGATACCGAGAGACGAAGGGAGCGTCGGTTCTCCATCCACGCTTCTACCTATCCGCTTCCGTTTGCCATATATGTATCTAGGATCTATGAGCTTGAGGTTTAGCGTAAACGTAAATCATATATTAAGCCTGGTTCGCACGGTGGCCCGTTGTTAACGGACGCGTTATGTCTCTGATCGGGCCGATTTCGCGAGGGCCGAGGGCTACAGCTGTGCTGCCTCCGCATGCTGATATCTCCAGACCCTGTCCTCCAGGATCAATAATTTGATGGGAATTTAGGACGTTCTACAGATGATTTCGATCTACTAACATTTGTTAGAGCGAAGACAATTTTGGCTAGCTTTTGTCGTATCAAATGTTAATTGTTCAAATAGAAGATAAAATCTGTTGTTTTCGGAGCAGTTTCGTCTGCACTCTTAACTAATCTTTGATCAGCTACTGTATTATATTATATTACCCTTCATATGAAATACAATTTTGATGTCGGCATTTGTTACTTACTCACGAGGATTTTAAATAATTTAATTTCCAAAGGGCGAACGTATAAAATTTCTCCGTTTCGTAGACACTAGGGGGTTACCTCAAAGGCTCGTTACACTTAAACCAAAGTATACGGGTGGCGCAGTATTAGCGGCTAACAGGATTCTGTGGTAGCACAAGGACATTTGTATCCTAGATATTGTTTCAGTAGTTCGAAATAAAGCCCACGATTTGTGAGAAACCACTCTGCCTTTAGCGTTCGTAATGGAGGACGCAGGTAATTTGTCCGCAAACGTAATTAGCGCCGTTAGGAACATTAATAACACACCCGTGATTCCGAGTCACTAATTAAAAGATTTATACGATAATGCAACGGCTCGCTAAGAGCCATCCAACTTGCGAAATAGTTTTCCAAATGCGATTCGCTTATTATGCTCGGTTAATGCTCATCGCGAACAAAGGGCCGAGTTATGATTTAAAACAAAAGGGAGTAGGTCTTGATAAAAGAATGGTGAAGTCTTTAAAGCACTCAGACCGTCATTATGACTACTCTTTTCTTTTTCTCGTTTTATCGTTTCGTATCTCTGAAGATTGCCTTTGCAATAATTGTAACAAATGAGCCAGAATATACCATCGTTTTCTGTGTTTCTCTTTCTTAGAATTTCATGAAATTGAATAACAATTCTGACGTTGGGTCTCAGATAGGTACACGATATTCACAATAGTCGTAACAGTAAATGTACCGTTGCGATTTTCTTTAATTAAAAGCATTAGAATTTCGCTTGGTATTAAGGATTAATATTATACATGAACTTTCATTAGGTTTCAAGGTTCTCTATTGTGTAAAGTGTTCCGTTTCATCTGGAATAATCCTTGGTATCAATGAGAGCCTGGCATTGTGCATCAG